TTATTTTTGCGCTTATGTATAATGCGTCTATTGCAATTTTCACTTTATCCTCTCAAACAGTCCTAAGAACGTTCAGAGTGCGCTACTTCACAGGGGGATTCTCCCCCTTGACCCCGCCGGGGTCATACATAATTCGCATAACGGCTCCCCCCCCCCTTTCAAAATGCTGGCTTCGTCCCTGGGCAGCCTGAATCAGGAATTGGACAAAAACCGAGTCCTTTTGGAGAAAAACGCCGACCTAGAATTTAGGTTTCTCGGGCTTAAATAAGGCAAAAAAATTGTTTGTTTGCCCTCCTTCACCCGCCCCTAACTCACTACAAAAAATAGGAGCGGAAAAACAAAAAAAATGTAAAAAAGTTATTTTAGCTTTTTTCTTTACAAATTTTTAAAAAATGAATGAATTATCTTTATTTTTCGCCAGATGCCCTGCAAATTAGTCTAAAGTTGTCTGATGTAAGATATTGCCATTCTAGGCCTCTGTGGGATATTTTTATTCCATCTGATGAGTACTTTAAAATAAACAAATAAATAAATAAAAACTTTTTCCACCCTCCCCTATTTATCATTCAAAAAACAAGAATGAATATTCAGTAGCGTATCCCCTTTTCGACTGGATTTTATAAAATGCTGTTTTCTTAAAAAGACCGCTAGGCGAAGTTATTTGCGCGAATCAAAAGCATCGATCGGTTCGCTTCGGTTGTGCATTTTTTCGCTTCGTAAAAAGTGCGAAAAACACTGATAGAAATGTGAATGCACATGCGCATGAACCGACGCTTTCGATTCGCGCGAATAAATTCGCTTATTGGAAATCAGGCTTTATAGCGCATTTAAGAATTCGCTTTATTACTTAATAACAACAGTATACATAGCCGTCGGAAGCATGTTCAATGTGGTCCATTGGGGGTGGGGGTGCTTAAAGCGTTTGGTTTTAAAATTGCCACACCATCCCTATCTACGCAGACATTCTAACCACGAACGTGAACGTCCAAAAGCGGGACACATTGATCCGGAAAACTTTTTGTTCAAAAGCGGGACACAATGCACTTTGCGACAAGCTACCCTCATGTGAAGCCTACTACGGTCAGTATACATAACGTTATTAGTCTGTTGATCATTATAAGAAAAAACTACATCGAATTCACCCAGTGTCCCAGTATTATCTTTTTGAACCTTAACATAGTAGGAAACATCCCAACCTAATGACAGTGGTTGGGCCAGAGTGGGGCTGGGGGTCTATAGTTCTTCCGTCGGGAAAGACGGGTAAATTTTGTCGGGGAATAAACAAATTAAAAAAAATATTTACTTTCATTAAACTATTGTGTTAACTTTTCATCACAATAATAATAATAATAATAATAATAATAAATAATAATAATAATAATATTTCAATGAGACTAATTAAAAATAATTTGCGTTAAAAGAAATGCTCCTTTGGATAGCCTCATGATGCTTGGAATACATCGTGAGGGGAAGCAACCTCGACCTTGACAGCGTGGTTGACAGATTTCATGCAAAATTTCCAAAATGTAGAATTTTACTTTCAAGAATGAGGATTTGAAAATAAATTAGATGGTTACATTGCATACTCTTGTTTTTTTTCAAAATGTTTTAGTTTTGGAAGCTGATTTCGCGACTAGAAAACATAGCCTACATGAAGTCATATATAGTAGCTCGATGCCTATCAAATAAGTAATACAAATTCGCCATAATTCGTAAAATATCCGTGGCTTCACGGGGGGAACCACCGGGAGCCCTAGGCAGCTTTCTGGCCCCCAGCCAAGTGAGATTCCATAGTTACCAACTGTCTCGCATCGTGCGGGACGGTCCCGCATTTCAAAGTAATTTTGGACGAAACACTCATTTTGCAGAAACACATGCGTGATCCTAAATTTGTCACGCAAGTCTATGCGTGATAACGAATTATCACGAATTCATGGGAAACTGTATTTAAAATTAGAAGAAATTGGTTTTATTAAAAATATAAAATGTTTGTGTATGTATACATAGTTCGGATGCTCAAATTAAAAATAGTCCTACGTTAAAACTCAAATTGTACATGGCTTTTATTAATATTTTTGCTTATGTACCTGTATTATCAGCAAACACTCACTGAAATTGTTTTAAAACAGCTTAAACGGCGGGAGGGCGTGACTCCTGCAGCTTGGACCCCCACCCCAGCGAACTGGTCACTTATGCATTTCAAATCTTTCAGGTTGGTAACTATGGACTCGATTCGCTCCACTAGCCCCCCCCAGCCCCCCCCCCCCTCGTCGGGCCCTTTAGCCTCTCTGTCGGGCAGGTCCTGGCGCCATCACTGCCTAATGATTGATGATTGGTCGGATTATCGCTCCATATTATAGCTTAGGAATGTTTTCCTTTGACACTTGCTAGATTGTAGCATCGAGAGAGTCTATGCCCACTTTAGCTCCACCAGGAAAGTTTGAAAATATATGGCACCTCTGGATACCTAGAAATAGCAACTAATAAACCTGTAGAGCCTCTACCCATCCCCATCCTGCTTGTTGTACATTGGCAGACACGTAGCGGGGACTAGGATTCATACCCACCTCCGCCCCACCATGGTTGGGGAGGAGGTGAGCACATTTTTAAAATAGGACACCGCTAGATAGCGGCGTAACCGTTCCGCTATTATAGAGGGCCCTGGTTCGAGAGTAGGCTAGGGGCCCTTGACGCATATAAATTGGCCGAGGTCGATCAGGCTAACAAAGCCTTAAGAAAAATTACGCTTTTACTGAAGTGATCCATAGTAAAACCATCCCCCGCTGACCCCGGAGCCAGAAAAATGTTATTTATGAAAGGAAATTCTTTACAATTTATTACTGTTTAACAGACGTAATCTATAGTACCTATAGTCGGATAACATGGTACTTCTGAATGTAGGTTTCTGGGCCGATATATTGATTACGAATGTACTAATATACAAAATATACAGATAATTTATTGTCATAAAAACACGTGTATATATCGTACTTTACAAAATTAAATTTTTGAATATAGGATTATGTGGGAGTAATAGTGCCTGTATATAGGTGTAAAAAAACTTAGATCAGAGCATGCTTTTGTGCTATGTTATTATTAGAAAAATGTTCACAGGAGACCAATCCTCATAGCTGATTTGGGGTGTGTGTAATGTTCATGAGGGACCCTTCCATGAGTATGGTCTTACAAGGCATCTTTTAATTATTATTACCTGTTTGACTCAAGAAAACATTAGACGTATATTTACAAAAGAAATGTAATAAAAGCCTAAATATCCCCTGTACATATTGCTAAAAATGATTAATTCATTATCACCCTGTAGATGAGTTCTTGGATTGTTAAAAGTTTTTTTTCATTAAGTGCTGTGTTTGCTCATGTTAGGCCTTGTTTAAGGTAATAATTTAATTTTGTATTGTACTGGCAGTCATGAGCTCTGTTATTTCCATTCGTTTTTGGACAATAAAGAAATTTGTATCTTGTAATACCGATTACACTTGTTTGGGCTCTGTCTCCTCCCTTGTCGTTTATTTTAAGAATGCGATCCTAAACGTTTTCCTATTTTCATTTTTGTAATTGTTTTTTAATGTTTTTAATAAAAGTGATTTTAAATTATATATATATATATATATATATATATATATATTTATATATATAAATTATCGAAGAAAGGTAAACACAGTCTTCGAATGTATATATATATATATCGAA